TAAATTTATATATTTATTTGTTTAATAGTATTTAAATTATTTTTACTTTTATTTTTTAATATAAATTAATAACTAAAAAATATTTTAATTACATTTTTAATTTATACATTTAAAAAAATTCAATTTAATATGTTAATTTCTTTAAATAGTTACTTTTGGTTTCTAAAAAAACATTTATTTATCAATACAAATAGATCCAACCCTTAAATTAAATCAATTGCTTTTAAGTTATATAAACGGACCAACCTTTTTCTCCTTCCAACATTATGGGAGGTATAACAAACAATAGGTATGGCTGTTGATAGTGATTCCGATTTCAAAATCTCAGGTCACATTCACCTCCACAACCGGCCATTAAGTTTCTGTGATTCCAAATGAGCAAAGTATGAACAACGTGAGGAATTACCAAAAAGAATGGGTGGCTGTTGATAGTGAAAGGTTGGTCGGTGGTGGGTTCATGGTGGGAGATGAATCTGAACACAAACAATACAATTCGCAGCTAAATGAATAATTCTTTTACAATCTAAGTAATTGTAAATTTGACTTCTGTGAAGCTTTCATTGGCTTTAGCTTCCACCATGATTTTAATTCTAATAATTTTTTGCTAGCTGACAATTGGGAGTTTGTACTGGGGTAGGCAAGGAGAAGGAATTAATGGCTGCGTCAGAAAGTTCTATTCAGATAAGTTGCTTACCGGGAGGTGTAAAAGCTGCCAGGCTGCAGCAAGCTTTTCCTATCTGGGGGTGAGACCAAGATTCGAGTTCAGGGTACTAATTGAGGAACTCAGGAACTTCAGAATAGAATATATATATATTACTCTAAGAAATATAATGTTAGGTTGGTATCTCTTTACCTGCATATTAAAGCGTGTTCTATTTATTTTTCACTTTAAAAAAGCGTGGTTTTTACGCGGTCACATAGTGAAGTGTCTTTAGAATAATATGTTTAGTTTGAACGAAATAATAAATATATGAAAAAATATTTTTTATTTAGATTTTATTTATTATGATTGTAATTTTAAGTTTTTTGTTTTAATTTTTATAATTTATAAAAACCAAATGTTAGAATTAACACTTACAACTAAATTTATATATTTACTTGTTTAATAGCATTTAAATTATTTTTACTTTTATTTTTTAATAATTATAATAATATATTACAAAACACGAAACAAAATTTTTGTTTAGGGATATAAAATTTATAAAAATCATAATTAAAACTTAAAATGATACTCATAGTCTCATACTGAATTTAATAATAAAAAAAATTAGTAGAGGAAAAAAGAGACATTATCTCTCTATTTTTTTATTTATTATAATTTATTTAAATAAATGAACTGAAAAAGATAGAGATAAGATATCATATCGTTTCATTTTTTTAAAATCAAATATACATTCAAAAGCGGCCAATTAAATGATAAGGGAGTCATGGCCTTGTACATTTCTTTTCCCCAAAGAAACAAGAGGTTCCGTTCAAAAAACAAACACATGGAAGAATGTTGGAAACTTGAAAGTCACTTTCGAAAAGTAACAGCCAGGATCAATTGGAAAAACAGAGACTCTCAAAGCATGCACTAATCTCGTTTCACACTAACTTTTTAGTTCATCAAAAGAAGTAAGAATACTGTTTATGTGTTGTGGATCAAATCGAACATTTCCATGGAATGGAGGGGTCCAATCCACTCATCGGTGACAAAGCACATGTTTTTCTTCTTTTCCTTTATGTTATTGTTTTTCCAATTTTCCAATCTTTTTTTCCCTGGCGTGATGTACGCAGTATCAATCAAAATTCAATTTTTCTATAGGAATGGCTTGATGTTTGTAATTATTTATTTTTAGTTTCAATTGTTTTCAATGCAGAAATTATATTTTACTTCTCTAATAAGTTGAAGAATAGAAACACCATGATGGATAACTCAAACACAATTAAAATTTATGATAAATAAGTGTTATTTTTTAAAATTAAATATATAATTAATTATTTTAAATATATCAAATTAATGTACAAAGTGTACTTTCAAAATCACATAAATGTAAAAATTGATCCCAAAAAAATCATAAATACAAAAAAAAATACTATAATTGACAATTTCCAGCGAACAAGTCCGTAAATTGGTGTATATATCAATTCTTCAATTCGACATTTTGTAACTATCACGAGAGATTCTGTTTTGAAAAAAATTAAAGATGGGAGTGAATGAACTCACCTAATTAAAT